GGGGGTCGGGCTAGAAGATCTATTAGGTCCCTTCCGACCCTAAAACTATGAAACTATAAGGGGGCAGTTAGGCCTAGGTAAGTCTTCGGATGCCTGAGGCCTGAAGTCGAGTGGGCCTGAGGTCGAGAGAGCAAGTAATTGGCCCTCATTAGAGGGTGTGAATGAGGAGTTACCCAGCAAGCAGTTTGGGTCAGAATTCCTTCCAGAGCGAGGTCAATTGGCTGGTCACCATTCAGATGAGGGTCAAGGGAGAGCCCTGAAAAGCTGCACCAGGGCCAGTCAAGGAGTATGAGTACGCTAGCCTGATGGCCTATGGGAGCCATTCAAGGGAGCAGGGCAGGTCAAATGTGGCCCTGTGTGGGGCAGCAAGTAAGAGGCCCAGTGAGAGCAGGTGGTGTGAATGAGGCTCGTTGGGGTAGAATGATGGGATGAATGTGTGAGGCCTAGCAAGGGGCTGAGTTTGGCCTGGCCTCAAGCTGGAGCAAACAGCAACTCAAGGATGACATGTGCAAGGCATAGAACATGATAGGGCAGGTCGGAGTCGTGTGTAAACCCCTAGGCATCGGAGTCTTGAATGGGCAGCCTCCCGCTTATATTGTAACACCAGTTTACTTTACAACAAAGGTGTGGCAGGAGAGATTGGGCAGACTGCCCTAGACAGGTTGGTGGGCTGGTACTGTGACCGGGCCTGGGAGTTTGCCCCGTCACAGGTTGTATAAGTCCTTCAACTTATACTTAGTTCAGAAATCACTGGGGGAGGGGGGTGGAAAGTCACTCCTAAATCTTTATCTTCAGTATCAAAAATCTTTGCAAACTTGCCAACTCAAAGACTCTCATACATTTTTAAAAACAGTGAGTTTTCAGATGTTTTGTCAAGCAAGGCTATAGAAATAAATAATTTATCTTGTCATCTTTCAAATAGTAGTTTTACTTCTAATGTCTCTCTCTCTCTCTCGGTTGCATTAAGCCAGACTCTTTCATTTATCCACATTTATTTCCATTAGAGAAAGCGTCCCCTCCCCAGCTCTTATTTTGGTCCTGAGTCAAAATGTGTAGGCAGAAGGATAAAAGTCTTCATATTTCTCTAAATGTCACAAGACAAAAAAAAATGAAAAGAAAACCAGTGAGTTGATATTTAGATTAATACTATTATAATTGTCATTTTCTGTTTTCTAACAACTGAACTGGGTTCTCAGAATGTTAGTAGGGCACATGATAGTTCTATCGCTAGAGTTGGAAAGCAATAAAGGAATGGTTGATAACCAGAGTCTGATTTTGTTTAGATATGCTTAAAAGTGCATGGTTGAGGGAAGTGGCCTAATACGGATGATCTTGAGGAAAAATAGAAAAGTCCCCTTTGCTAACATGTGAGCTGAATTGGGGCCTTGGATGTCAACAGTACATTGCCTGAATATTTTATTTTCTGTTGTTACTGAAAAGTAGTCATTTGCTGCCCCCTAGTAGTAGGTTACTGAATGTGCTGTACTATTATGGAACACACTCTTGATATCTTCAACTACCTTAAATTAAGTAAAAATTAAAAAAAAAAAAAAAAAAAAAAGGTATGTGACAGCAGTGCAAAACAATATGGAAATGGTTTAAGTACTCTGGGTAAGTAGTAAACATCCATTAAAATCTATAAAACATCTCTGTTCTTAAATTAAAAGAGACTAATTAATAAAGTTCATCCACTACTACTTCTCACTTATTTCATTGAATACTGGACTGGGGACTCGAACAGGGAGAAATTAAAAGATATGAAAAAATTCAAGTTCTCTCAGAATTTCTCTGTGTTCACAGTATTCACAGAGTTTACTAACGTGTGGCTGATTAATCTGATGGGATCCTGTCATATAATCATGTATCGCTATTACAATTATAGTAGGCCAATGTATTCTCAGGAATCACATTACATCCATGCTTCATGTTACTCTTATGGTACATTTCATTATTATTCCTGGGAACAATAGGGATAATATCCAGATGCTCAATCATGGAATCATCTTGCAAATTGTAGAGCCAAGACAACCCAACTTGTTCTATGTTCACTAAGGCATCTCCCTGGCATTTTGATATTAGTTGCCCCTGTGTGAACCTAGTGAAGTCAGATGTATTGCAGAGCTGTAACTGAAGACAAAATTTTATCCCGATGTGAGAAAATCAACACTTTGGCAGATATAAATTGACTTGAAGAGGAGGTGAAAATGGTGAGAGGTTGTCTAGACACAGAGTGTATTTCTAATTTTAGTTGCTCTGTGTCAAGTTTAAATTCAAAGCTCTTGCTCTGACAAGTGGAGCTGTATATCTTTACTATTTTTCTTTATTTAATATCATTTTACATTCTAAAGCTATGCATATTCTCCTCTTTGCAGAGAGGGTCAACTGTGACTAATTTTGCTTTTCTTTTTGTAGATGTGACAACTCAAACGGCATACTTCATTACAAACTCAAAAATCAGACTGCTGCCAAGAAAAAAAATTGCTTGAGGATATGATTTCTTTGATGAAAGAAACCTGTTTTCCAGAGAAAATTAGTGTCTTCTGAACATTAGAGAATATTTTATAATTTAGGGACAAGCTTACTTGAAGCCACTGGTCATGTTAAGCCATTGGCACACTGTGATGATGATGCAGAAGAACTGAGACTTTATCAGATTCTTAAAATCAGACTCGGCATGCTCAGAAGTAGCTGCATATCACTGGAAAAATTATGTCATACGTTTTTTCTCCACAAACATAATAAGAAGGCCACTTAATAAAGACTATGTACTTATCAAGTTTGGCAGAGAAGGAAGTTGTTCAGTTTTGTTTTGGGGTTTTTTTGGGTAGGGGGGAAGAAAAATAATAATATGCTGGAAAAGTGTCTGCTTTCCCCTGAGCTTCCAATGACTCAAGAATACCTGATGGAATTATCTTCAAACTTGTTAATCCTCTCCCCAAAAACCTCAACTCTGAAGTCAAAGGAGATGTAGAGTTTGAAAGTGGATGCTTAAAAATGAAACCCCCGTGTCAGTGGAATTATCTTACTATATTCATAATATAGTACAAACTGGGCAAGAGATTATATGTAGTTAGGGTAGCATTAAGTGTTGAATGCTATCAACACAAATTGAAAAATTTCAGCTGAAATATGCAAGAGTACAAATATTGTCCCAGTACTATTCCTCAAACTGCCAACTGCAATATAAGCCTTCATACTATGCTAATTATTATGTTATTTATGAAAGCTTCCAAAAAGAAAAGTGATTCTAGATGCTTTGATTTTTCATGCCCAATCTGAAACAATTGAAAGAGAAACAAAAGCCCACCTTTAGTAACAACGTTAATATTCAATGACACCCAGAGCCATCCAGTACAGTACTTCCTTTGAGATGTGTGAATTCGAATTCAAATACTACTTGCAACTACTCATTCTACTCACAGCTAGTCTTATGTTTCTCCCTTTTCTCCTCACCATCATTTGACTAATTTGGACTTAATTCCTGCCTACATTGATGTAAATGCCAAGTCAAGCTCTGGAAATCAAGTGTTGATCCAGCTTTTCTAGGCATAAGATAGTCATATGATCTCCCAGAATGGGACAAGATGAACCATGAAAATAAGGAGCTTGATTTAATTTCAGTGTCAGTCAATGTTAGCTGCTCCAGCATTAGGTTATCAATACCAAGGAAAGGTGGTTTCGGCATATGCCAAGCCCCAAGTAAAACGGTCAAGAACACTTCAATTTTAGCAGTTTTCAGTACCCATAAAGAATGACAAACTGAGCTTACAAGATTTTCTAATCTCGTTGGCTATATAGCATTTGAATAAATAAGAGTATGCAGTGGATGCCACCAAGTGGCAGTTCTTATCACATACCAATAACAGTGCCATTATTCCATACTAGGCTGACACTTCAGCAGCGGCAAATATGGATTTCAATATCATAAGTGTTAATGTCCTGATACAGCATTTTACTGGGAATAGCATTCTACTGCTGGGGAATGAGGAAAAAAAATATTCCCCAAGGGTTACATTTGATTCCTACTGTCAAATGCAAAGCTAAAATTGACTTCAATAAAATCAAATTTTAGACCTTCCTCTGCAGCCCTTGAGAGGACTGATCCTGCAGAACCCCCACCCCACTCCTTGCAGAATATGGGGACTGGACAAAGGAAGGGCACCTATTTTACCCCGCAGAATTCTGATCCATCAAGACGGCTTCCTTGTGTTCCACTGTTTAAAGTAAAATAGGAAGAGTTATGAATCTACTACCCTCACCTTTGCCTTAAAAAAAATCCACCAGCTACTTCTTACCTACAAAGGGGTACTAAATCAGCTGCAAGGAGCACGGGTCAGAGCAGCCTTTTCAGAAAGCTCTTTCGCACCACATAACCACAAAGCCCAGTTACTGGTACCTGTAGGTAGAACTGGAAAATGTACTGAGATATAGTAAAGACAAATGCCTTTAAAAAGACAGCAAATAGGGTAGCATAGAACCAGCTCTGCATGCTGGATTGCACCCACAAACCAACCTTGTTGCACTGGATCAGACCCACAGACTGACTCTGTACCGCTCACCCAGCCCAGCTGGATGGGTGAAGCACCACTGTCCAAACCAACAGTGGTAACCTGGATAGCATATGGCTCTAGCCTAGTAATGTTGGCCTTTGGTCAAGATTTTCTTTCAATTGTTAATACATTAACAATTCTTTCAATTGTTAATACATTATTTGGTCTATTCTGCTTTTAACTAAGATATCCTGAAAGTGTAATTGATAAGTTCTTCATTAAGGGCAATTTATCTTTGTGGAAATTAGAACTGGTCTAGATTGTTGATTCAAACGACAGAACCTGTGGGCTGTCCTCACCTGACTGTGCCCACAGGCCCTCAAACAAGTCCAAGGAGCCAATGGACACTCCCAGTGAAACTGCCTGGAGATGTGTCCACACCAGGGGCAGGAAAAAGGCCCTGCAGTCCTTGGGGGCCCTCCCAGCCAGAGCCTCCTTCAGGTCAGGTAGATGGCCACCTTGACCAAGGTCAAGAGGAGGTTGACCAGGAGGCCCTGGGTAGGGTTGCAGACCCCCCAGGATTGCCCTGGAGCCTCCAGGAATTAGCTATAAATCTCCAGTAGACGGCTGAGGGGCACCTGGGAGATAAATGACATGAATGACATTCACTAAAATAAATATGAAACGTTGGATCGGATTTATACAGTACAGTGGGGTTTTAAAATGTAATAGCAATGTTTATTTGCCTTCCTGCCCTTAAGTCCGCTACACACCGTGATCCGTAGCTGACCTCCGCGAGCAGCCGGGCGTGTTGGCCGCCCAGAAACCTCCCGCAAGAGTCGGGGCTGGCAGCCCTGGGCCCGGCCGCGGGGAGAGCCTCCAGGACGCGGGGCGGGGCGCGCTGCAGCCAGGCCCCCGCGGGACCGCAGGTGGGGTCACCGCCCCAGGGCCGAAGCGCGGGTGAGCGTGAAGGGGCCGTGCCAGGGGGCTCGTGCCCCCACAGGGTCCGGGCCTCGCGCGGGATACAGCGTGGGG